CATGCCTTCTCTGCACTGGGAATTTTTTCGTGTCTTTGCAGCTCGAGGTCCCTGTTCTAGTGGAGATCGTGAGAGCGGCTCAGTGACTCTCGACCGGGGTTCCTTTTGACACAAATTCCCTCGCGCCCTTGTAGTGCATCGCAGCTTTTAATGATTTGCGTCGGGGGCTCTCCGGCGCGCATGATGGTGCTCGCATTGTAATCACGCTAAAAGTGGTTTACTTTGATTTGATCTATTTTTTTGCACGCATAGATCTGTTTGGTTGGATGGTTCTGTCGTCCCTTGTCATTTATCTCTCCGTTTGTCTGCCTGTCTGTCTCTGTCTGCCTGTCTGCTGATCCCTGTCTGTGTGTCTCTGTCTGTCTCTTTGTTTCTCAGTCTCTAGATAGATAGATCTGTCTTTTTATTTGTCTGTTCATCCATCTATGTATCTATCAAAGTATCTATATGAATCAATCTATGCATCAAAATCAATCTATATCTATCTACCTGTCTGTCCATCTTGCTATACATATTTTTCATCTATCAAGCTGTTTATAAAGAGAGATAGATTGATAAAGAAATGTATAGTTATTACCTTTTATATGCCTTGCTGTGGCACCTAAAGTAAGTCCTCTGCTCGTACAGTTTAGTCATCCGCTTATTCCCAGATATTTTGCGTTTTGAATGCATTTACAAACGCTTTTGTTACATAACAGGGAGCTCATAGGATTTAATGATATTAAACAGTATCATTCCAAATGACTTTTATAAATGACGAAACCATGTGCGAGATAAAAATATCCCACTAGTCACTGGTATTCGTTAGTTTCTTGACTACTGTATGCTTATTCCTTACTAATTAAGGCTTTTTCTATTTCCATAATAACGTTGCCACTTTAACCTGTTTGAAATACAAATACTCCCTGTTAGAATTTAGATAAACGGATTTTGATTTTAAAAAAAGAATATATATATATATGATTACTTTCCAGTTAGTCGTCATTTTATCAATAGTGAATGGTTTTGTTTTGATCACCTGAGAGAATTTTTCTTTTTTAAGTATAAATTCTTTGACATTCTCTCTCTCTCTCTCTCTCTCTCTCTCTCTCTCTCTCTCTCTCTCTCTCTCTCTCTCTCTCTCTCTCTCTCTCTCTCTCTCTCTCTCTCCCTGCATCTATCTATCTATTTATCTATCTGTCTTTTCATATACCTATATTTCTCCTCCTATCTTTTTCAGTCACTATATCTTTTTCTTTCTCTCTCCCTTTCCCTACTTGCCTCCATACAGAATAATTACTTGAATCTCTTATCAGATCTGTCTTCGGGATGGACAAGGCAAACAGCGGCCGCAATCCGACTTTCATTTCATTGTGGTTCTGATAAAGGGAATTGCGACCCTTGGAAATGTCCGAAAGGTCGACAGACTTTGACGTTCTTGATTCGCTTCGTTGGCCCGGTTCATATATTTAGGTTATTGTGCAGTGACTCACGGCCGGCGGGTTCCTGGGCCTGAGGTTCGTTTGTTGGCCGTGGTTTTTCGGTTCGGGCAGCGGGAGTAGCGGGTGCGTGAATGCCTGATCTGTCTGAAAGTCTAAGATTCCAACCCGGAAAAAATGGTTTGAAGTGAGAGCAGATTTCCTAATGGTTGTGCTCATGCAAGAAGTATTTATCATCGTCGGATAGAGCATGTAATGATAATGCACAGTTTAGTTGTTAACTGGTTTTTTATTCTTGTTACTGTCAGTGTTTTTAGGTAAATGCTAATACGGTAGAAATGGGATTGGATGCGGTCCAGATTCAAAATCTGAATCAAATCGAACTACGAACTCATCGCCCGTTCGAGGCATCATAGAAAATGGGTCTGCATTTTTTTTCTTTTCCTTTCCTTTTTAGATGTGGTAAAATCATGTACTGCCATGCATCTTTAGACGTTAGGAATTGTTTGAGGTCTTTGTTACGTTCGAGTATGTATATGCCAACGACAGGATAAATCAAGACTTTTCAGCTGAATACATATATATAATATATATATATATATATATATATATATATATATATATATATATATATATATATATATATATATATATATTATATATATATATATATAATATATATAATATATATATATATATATATATATATATATATATATATATATATATATATATATATGTGTGTGTGTGTGTATATATATATATATATATATATATATATATATATATATATATATATATATATATATATATATATATGCTTGTAAATGTTTGTACTTGTCTGTATGTCTCTGTTTGTGTGAGTGTATGTTATTTATTTTCTTATTCCTTGATCTATTCATAAATACATTGTGAATAAATCGCCGACACACAAGATGAGCATGAGAAACACCATAAAACCAGTGCTTGCGGCGCTCTCCCAAGCAGAGAGGGTATAGCCTGCCTGTTTCCTCCTCGAAGCACCAGCGAAACGAAGAGAAAGTACCATTTGTTCCTCCAGCATCCCGAAAATTAATGAGCCT